AGATCATCCACTAAGGCGACCAAAGCTGTCTCGGTACCATGCCCCGGCCTAAAGCCAGACTGTGCCGGATCCAGATAATCCGTGTCTACCAAGAATGCCTGGAGTTGTGAGGCCACCACACGTTCCATGACTTTGCCCAAAAAGGGGAGATTGGAAACAGGCCGATAGTTGTCGAATTTAGTGGAGTCCAGTGATGGTTTTTTCAACAGCGGTTTTATTATAGCTTGTTTTAAGCTTGCTGGAATCTTGCCTTCCCGAAGGGAGGCATTAACCTCCCCCTCTGGCCTCCTTTAGAAGCCAGGATGGGCAGGGGTCCAGGATGCATGTGGTAGCTCTCATTCCTCCAAGCACCTTGTCCACATCCTCGGATTGAACCAATTGAAATGAATCCATCAAAACCGGACAAGCAGATGCTCGTGTTACATCCTCAGATACTGCCGTTAATATGGTATCCAGTCCAGAGCGGATCAAAGCGACTTTGTCTGCGAAGAACCGAGCAAAGCTTCGCAGCGAGCTGCCGAGTCATCAGGGCACCCATCCTGAGTGGCGGGTTTTAATAGGCCTCTGACAACTCGGAACAGTTCAGCCGGACGGTTCTTTGCAGACGCAATAGTGGCCGCAAAGAAAGTTTTCTTTGCGGCTTTTATTGCCGGCATATGCCCTTAAAAAGGACACAAACCGTGTTCGATTTGGCTCGCTCGGATCCGAACGCCACACGCTCTCTAGTTCCCTCTTCTTTCGCTTCAACGCTGCCAGCTCCTCGGTGAACCAAGGAGCTGGTTTATCTCGGCTACTTGAGAGGGGACGTTCTGGAGCGATCGTGTCTATTGCCCTAGTCATCTCCCCATTCCAGAGAGCGACCAGAGCATCAACAGGATCACCAACCGAGGTGGCGGGAAATTCCCCAAGAGCCGTCAGGAATCCATCCGGATCCATAAGCCTCCTGGGGCGGACCAATTTAATGGGTCCTCCACCTCTGCGGAGGTTGGGGGGTGCAGTGAGTCTAAAGCTGACCAAGTGGTGGTCGGTCCATGGCAACGGAGAGATGGATAACTCCTCAACACCGCCACCTTCCTCCCATCCCTGGCAGAAAACCAAGTCCAATGTATGTCCAGCACTGTGGGTGGGGCCAGATACCTGTTGGGACAGCCCCATGGTTGCCATGGTAGACATGAAGTCCTGAGCCGCTCCCGATAAGGCGGTCTCGGTGTGGACATTGAAGTCCCCCAGCACAAGCAGCCGTTGGGACTCCAACGCCAGGTCCGAGACCACCCCCGCTAGCTCAGTCAGGGAGTCTGTAGTGCAGCGAGTTGGACGGTACACTAACAGAATCCCTAAACTGTCCCGATCACCCACCCTCAGGTGGACGCATTCAAATTTTGTTGACTGTGGGATGGGGCCCCTGGTCAGACGAATGGAATCTCTATAGACCACTGCAACCCCCCCCCCGCCCTCCGGATCTCGGTTGGTGCTGCACAGAGAAACCTGGTGGGCAAAGCTGGGTTAAATTTACACCTCCCGCTTCGTCCAACCAGGTCTCTGTGATGCACGCCAGATCTGCCCGTTCATCCAGGATTAAATCCTGGATGAAAGTTGTTTTTCCGTTGACAGATCTGGCGTTCAACAGCACCACTTTCAATCCGGAGGGACCGCCATCCTGGTTACACCAACTTACCATATCAGGAGACCGATTTGGAATTACTAATGTTGTTCCACGTTCCCTAGGCCGAATTAAAGGTCTCCTTTTCCCGTATCTCCCCCTCCCCACCACGACTTCTATGGGGGCTCCCCGGTTAACGGAACCCTCTCCCTCCTCCATGACGCATTCAGTAGCCAAAATATCTGTCCGTAATTCATTATAGACTGTATGGTATATTATAGTTCTGGAATACCATAGTCCTGCCTTCCATACATTTCCTACTCCTATTATATTAAACTCCGGTCTTTCTAATCTACTCCGTTCCCTTCCTCTACCAGAAACAATTAGCAGCAAGATTAACAGATGCCAGGGAAAGGGTAGTGACATGGATAATAACTATTAACACTGTCAATGGAGTTCTTAAAGTGCAGGAGTTAAAGTGCAGGAGTTCTTAAAGTGCAGATAAATAATTAAATCAGCATACACGATGGTTTCAATAATTAAAGTGCAATAGCTCAGTCAGTTGGCTCTAAAGTGCTCAATTAAAGTGCGTCATGGAGGACTAACTTCGATACTAGACGGTTTAATCAATTAAAGTGCTGTGGCTCAGTAAAGCTAGTATATCACTGAGATAGTGAGTTAAAGTGCTGATGAAATAACTGCTAGAGTTAAGGCAAACAGTTACAGGACAATAGACGACAGAAAGCGGATCCAGGGGTGGATGATATTGGTCCTTCCGGGACTAAAATTAACGTCCGCGGTGGTGGTCGTTGGCCACAGCCGGACAGTCCGATGGTAAGGGATGGCCAACACAGATGGACGACACAGATGGACAGCACAAAAGATCGAGCAGCACAACGGTCGACACAGTAGATGATTAACTGGTCAACACACGTCAGGCAGCCTGAGTTGGACAACACAGCATTCTCCACAACAAATTGAACAACACAAACAGTCGGCACAGAAGATGGTTAATTGGTTAATTGGTCAACACACAATTAGGCAGTCTGTGGAGGCCTCCTTGCAGATTGCTGAGTCACACCCCACTGGAGGAGGCCTGGGCTGCTGGCTACTCGCAAGGAGTCCTGGGAGCAAGCTGGAGATCTTTATTGCCCCTTCACAGCAAGCACAGCAGACTCAGTCCCTGGCAGGCCTGTGGGCTCAGCTTTATAGATGTAGAGGCCTCCTTGCAGATTGCTGAGTCACACCCCACTGGAGGAGGCCTGGGCTGCTGGCTACTCACAAGGAGTCCTGGGAGCAGGCTGGAGATCTTTATTGCCCCTTCACAGCAAGCACAGCAGACTCAGTCCCTGGCAGGCCTGTGGGCTCAGCTTTATAGATGTAGAGGCCTCCTTGCAGATTGCTGAGTCACACCCCACTGGAGGAGGCCTGGGCTGCTGGCTACTCACAAGGAGTCCTGGGAGCAGGCTGGAGATCTTTATTGCCCCTTCACAGCAAGCACAGCAGACATTAGAAAATGTTGACCATTTCTGCTACTGTGGCAGCCACCTCTCCACAAAAGTCAACATTGACACTGAAATACAACACTGACTGAGCTCTGCGAGTGCAGCATTTTTCCAAATGAAGCACAGAGTGTTTAAGGACCGGGACATCCGTAGGGATACCAAAGTGCTTGTTTATAAAGCTATTGTCCTCTCAACCCTGCTATACGCCTGCGAGACGTGGACTATCTACAGACGTCATATGCAACTCCTAGAATGATTCAATCAGCGTTGCCTCCGAAAAATCCTGCAAATCCCTTCGGAAGACAAGCGGACAAATGTCAGTGTGCTTGAAGAAGCAAAGACCACCAGCATTGAAGCGATGGTCCTCTACCATCAACTCCGCTGGACTGGCCACGTTGTCCGGATGTCCGACTACCGTCTCCCAATGCAGTGGCTCTACTCTGAGCTCAAGAACGAAAAATGGAATGTTGGTGGGCAGTAAAAGAGACTTAAAGATGGGCTCAAAGACAACCTTAAAAACTCTGCCAGAGACACTGAGAACTGGGAAGCCCTGGCCTGTGAGCGCTCCAGCTGGAGGTCAGCTATGACCAGCAGTGCTTCAGAATTTGAAGAGGCATGAATGGAGGGTGAAAGAGAGAAACATGCCAAGAGGAAGGCACATCAAGCCAACCCCAACCGGGACCGCCTTCCACCTGGAAAGCAATGCCCTCACTGCAGGAGACGATGCAGATCAAGAATAGGGCTCCACAGTCACCTGCGTACCCACTGCCAGTACACCGATCTAGGAAAACAATCCTACTCAGACAACAAGGGATCACCTAAGTAAGTAAGTGAGACATTTCAAATTAGCTATTTGACAAACTGAGGGAGAGAAGAGGTCTAATCCATTAGAGGTCAAAGTTCAGGGCTGCTATGGTTGCTTTGGTATACTATGCAATGCTTTGGCGTTGGTGTTGCCTGCTAGCTTTATTTCAGCCTGTTCAGTCTATATATTGTAAATTGTTATGTACACAGTCATCAGATCTATTCTCCAGAAAATAGAACTTGCCTGGAAGCCTCTCATTGCTCAAGGAGGGATAGGTGCTAAAATTATAGCAGCAATATATTTACTAACATGTCCCATTCATCTGTTAATGGATATATAACAGTTCAGCTTGCTCCCAATCTGTTTCCAAGTACTATTCAAAGTGCTAGCTATGACCTACAAAGTCCCTTGTGGTTGTGATACAGACTATATCTTCCCATCTTGAGTGTGCCTGAACTCTAAGATCTTTGGGATAAGCACTTGCCTCAGTTCTACAACCTTCAGAGGGACATTTGGTAGGAGCGCAGGAGTATCTTCTCCATAGATGCTCCAAGACTCTGAACCTCATGTGTGCTAGGCTGGCTCCCTCTTTGCTGCCCTTTCATTAACTTCTATTCCAGCAGATGTTTGGGAATGGACTGGTCTGTATAATGAATGTTTTGCTTTAATGCATTATTGTTTTTAATCCAAGGTTTTAAATTAAGGTCTTATATGCTTTTTGTTATATAGACAATTTTATATTATTGTATTTTAACCTTTCATATATTTTAGCTATATGTGGATTTACTAGGATTTCTTTATATTCTTGTAAGCTGCCTTGAGTAACCTTCGGGTTATAGAAAGACAGGATAGAAATATCGTAAATAAATGGTACATAAATAAATTCTGTAAGCTGACTTAAGTCTCGCTTTTTGGAAAAGGTGGACATAAAGTGATTGACTAACTGATTGAGAAACTGAAGCAATAAGAAGATTTTAGAATGGCTCAAGTTCCCCCACCCTTTATTTCTATAATTTCATCTAGGAAACTTACCTTTTACTTCATGCAATACATCATCTTTCAAAGCTTTATATTTTTTTTTAATTGCCAGGTTCTAGGACTTGTTCAAAACATGAGCATTTTCCAGTGTCCTAAATGCAAACATGAAACCCATATTTTTGGAGCTGATGGTGTGAAAAACTTGGCCAGTGAACTTGGACTGGATGTTTTAGGTAAGAAAATAGCAGTGTTAAAATCTTAATTTTGCTAAGATTAATTAGTATTGCTTTTCACTTCTTTCTGACGTCACTGTTTGGTTTTTAATCTCATTTTAGTCCCACTAAAATAAGGGATGTCAGCCTTTTAATTCTAGGTAGTTAGAAATCTGGAGCATGCTATTGTATAATGTGTTTATGGAACTATGATACTTACAAAGCATATACAAACATTTTTATTTGGTCCTGATATTCTTTCATCTTTGATTGCTGAATTCTCATCTCCTGCTTTCATTTGCACTTATAGGGGATAATATTGTGCACTCCCACTTTAGTATTGAAAATTAATTGTATCTAAATTAGGTATGGGCAGACTTCGGCCCTCCAGGTGTTTTGGACTTCCACAATGCTTAACAGCTGGTAGGCTGTTAGGAATTGTGGGAGTTGAAGTCCAAAACACCCGGAGGGCCAAAGGTTGTCCATGCCTGATCTAAATGAATTATATTACTATAGCTTTTAAAAATGGAATTGTATTCAGAATATATATGGCTGCAACAAAAATAAAGAGTACTAATAGAAATGTTCCATGGCATTTCTTGTACAACTTTTGTGTCCTGGGAATGCATGGTAGAGCACACTATGCATTATTGCTGTTAAATTTATGAGCGCTGTTACTCGTCTTAAAGACAATATCCATATCTTAGGAGCATTTTTGCTTTATCTGGATACACAAAAGAGATGGGGGGATGATCAGGGCTTGAAATGTTCTGCAGTTCATAGAACTTGGCCATAATGGTGGGAGGATTCTAGGAGTTGTGGTCCAAAAGGAACATCTTTCCAGGCTCTATGCTCATCCCAAAGTCTGCCAGGTAATCTTCCATAGCCTGAGAGCAGATAGGAGCTGTTACTTGGGCGAGACACAGCTTTCTAGGTTATCCAGCTGGATTGGGAAAGATAGACCTACATGACAGAGGAGGAATGTAATGATGGTTGGGAGATGCAGTGCAGGGCAGTGACAAGAATTTCACATGTTGAAGAAACTAGCAGTTATTGATGTAATTTATTCTCTCCTAAGTTGAAGTTTGCAGTGCTTTTAACTGTAAGTTGATAATGAACTATAACATACCTTAATTAAGCTGGTAAATGAGACAATTCTACCTGCTAATGATACATATTTTCATGCACTTCTATAATTACATTGGTTCATACAGATTTTTCATTAAGGCTTAGGAAGTTGACTTCACAAAAATCTTCATAGATATATCAGAAGCTGACAGACTTAGCAGAGCAAGGAAATCCTTAATTAAAAGTACACACTTGGGTTAGCCTGACTGTCTGCTGGATGTATAATGAGGATTAGAGTCTGGAACCTTGTTTCAGCATTGAGTTGCACTGACCATAAGTAGGAAGTCTCCAATGGTAAGACTTTCCACAATTAGAAGAGATCTATTGTGCCCTTCATATGTATCAATTTATATGGGAAAAATAATTAGTGATGAGTGCCCCCTGCTAAATGTGAAATTTGAGTGCATTACTAGCAAAAGCTGTAGTATGTGAAAGTATAAAAGGCAAACTTCTTTTTCAAGTGGTAATTTGATGCCAGTGCCTTCTGACTAGCATTAAAAGACTTAAACATTATTAGTATTACTTTAGAGTGTTAGTTCTCTTTCATAGTATTGTCATATTTTTTCTCAGAGCTGAAGACACCTATAACAGATATAAGAAATAGATATAACAAGGATGGGTAAAGTGTTGTTTCCAAGGTTGTTGAATTGTAACTCATTATTGACTGTGTCAGCTCATAGGAGTTGCAGTCCAACAACATATGGAGGCCTGAACGTTCTTCCTTGACTTGTTGTTGTTGTTCATTCGTTCAGTCATCTCCGACTCTTCGTGACCTCATGGACCAGCCCACGCCAGAGCTCCCTGTCGGCCGTCACCACCCCCAGCTCCTTCAAGGTCAGTCCAGTCACTTCAAGGATGCCATCCATCCATCTTGCCCTTGGTCGGCCCCTCTTCCTTTTGCCTTCCACTTTCCCCAGCATAATTGTCTTCTCTAGGCTTTGCTGTCTCCTCATGATGTGGCCAAAGTACTTCAACTTTGTCTCTAGTATCCTTCCCTCCAATGAGCAGTTGGGCTTTATTTCCTGGAGGATGGACTGGTTGGATCTTCTCGCAGTCCAAGGCACTCTCAGAACTTTCCTCCGGCACCACAGCTCAAAAGCATCTTCCTTCGCTCAGCCTTCCCTAAGGTCCAGCTCTCACATCCGTAGGTTACTACAGGGAATACCATGGCTTTGACTAGGCGGATCTTTGTTGCCAGTCTGATGTCTCTACTCTTCACTATTTTATCGAGACTGGACATTGCTCTCCTCCCAAGAAGTAAGCGTCTTCTGATTTCCTGGCCACAGTCTGCATCTGCAGTAATCTTTGCACCTAGAAATACAAAGTCTGTCACGGCCTCCACATTTTCTCCCTCTATTTTCCAGTTGTCAATCATTCTTGTTGCCATAATCTTTGTTTTTTTGATGTTTAGCTGCAACCCAGCTTTTGCGCTTTCTTCTTTCACCTTTATTAGAAGGCTCCTCAGCTCCTCCTCGCTTTCGGCCATCAGAGTGGTGTCATCTGCATATCTGAGGTTGTTAATGTTTCTTCCAGCAATTTTCACCCCAGCTTTGCATTCATCAAGCCCCGCACATCGCATGATGTGTTCTGCATACACGTTAAAAAGGTTGGGTGAGAGTATGCAGCCTTGCCGTACGCCTTTCCCAATCTTGAACCAGTCTGTTGTTCCGTGGTCAGTTCTTACTGTTGCTACTTGGTCCTTGTACAGATTCCTCAGGAGAGAGACAAGGTGGCTTGGGATGCCCATCCCAACTAAGAACTTGCCACAATTTATTATGATCCACACAGTCAAAGGCTTTAGAGTAGTCAATGAAGCAGAAATAGATGTTTTTCTGAAACTCCCTGCCTTTCTCCATTATCTAGCGGATATTGGCAATCTGGTCTCTCGTTCCTCTGCCTTTTCTAAACCCAGCTTGAACGTCTGGCAACTCTCGCTCCATGTATTTCTGGAGTCTTCCTTGCATAATCAGATATTGAGCAGGAGTGAAGAAGAGGCTGAATCATTGCAGCACCATGGATATCTTTTTACAGCTGGAATGGAGTTGATTTCGCCTCCTTTGTAGCTGTGAGCCAAGTATGTGTTTCATTTGAGAGAGGGCAGAGTTAACAAGAATGATAAGAGGTTTGGAGAGCAAAAATATGAGGCAAGGAAGGAGCTGGACTTGCTCCATTTAGTGAATAGAAAACAGGGGTGGCATAATTGCACTTTTTAAATGCTCAAAGGTTGCCACAGGGAGAATTTGGCAAGCCTGTTCTCTGCTGCCCCAGAGGGTAGAACGAGGTCTAATGGTTTGAAGTTATAGCAGAGTAGATTTCAAATGAACATTAGAAGGAACGTCTTGACAGTAAGAGTGGTTTGGCAAAGAACCAAGTGCCTAGAGGGGCAGAGGGATCTTCTTATTTGGATATCTTCAAAATGAGGCTCGACAGCTACCTGCTGGGGATGTTTTAACTGGAGCTCCTTCACTGACCAGAGGATTGAACTCAATGGTATGTTAGGCCTCTTCCAACATAATGAATTGATACCTCTGTGAAGGTCTGGGGCACTGCATTTCCTCTGTTTATGACAGCAGCTGTTTTAAGTACTTTAATTGTAAAATGGATAATTTTACAGCCTCATCTTGATTGTCAGGCATCACAGTGATCAGAGCTAGTTGCATTAGTCATCATTGCAGTGCAATATCTGGATCAGTAAGCCTTGGTCCAGCTTTAACACAGCAGGGTAATCACCAGCTGCAGTAAATCTTGCCAACCGAAAGGTTGATAGTTCGAAGCTGGGTCAGGGTGAGCTCCTAATCTTCAGTCCAGCTCTCCCACCCAACTAGCAGATCAGTAGATGAATGGGAGCCACATTAAGCAGGGAGGTATTTTAGGCACAGCATTTTGGAGGAAAGTTTATGAACAAAGAAAGCTCTTCAGCAAGGAAATGGAGTACCAGTGCCCCCTGTGGCCAGAGCCGAGCACAGCCTCCAAAAGATGCCAGTTGAGGAGAAAAAGTCTAAACATACCTTTATGTGTTGTCTGTCTTGTCATTGTGTGGTTGACATTGAATTTTGCAGTGTATGTGTTTTGTGATCCGCCCTGAGTCCCCTTCAGGGTGAGAAGGGCGGAATATAAGTACTGTAAATATAAATCAATAAATCAGTAAAAACTCTTGCCTCTATAACAGGAGTATGATACATTTGGCCCTCACTATTTGGGGCTATAACTCCCATAAATCCATAACAACACTGCCATGCTGTCTGTGGCTCTTTACTGTTGAAGGCTATCTCTGGTTCATTTCAAAATATCTAGAGGACCAAACTTTCCTTACTTGTACTGGACAATTAAATAGTGAAAAGAAGAGATTCCTGGCATATTATAGATACGATTTTCTATTCTGTTTTTGCATAAAGTTTTAATGGTTGAAAATTTTCAAAAAGTTATTTTCCAGGGGGAAAAATTAAAAACACAAAACCACAATTCATGTTTATGTCTGCTTTTTCTTTATTTTTGTGGGAATCCCCTACTGGTTAGAAAAGCACAATATACATTAATCCATTGTTTGGAGGGGGTATTGATTGACTATGCAACTACCGCTTACGTAAATCGGTAGTTCTCTAAGAACAATAACATGTTCTTTCATTTTTACAATTCAATATTTAAGCATATATTTGATTAGCATGTTATCACACTGAAATCAATAGGGAATCAACTATAGTTCTGAAGAAATAATGTGGTTGTATGAATAAACTGTAAACTGGAACACTCCACTGCAGACCTAGTTTTTATGTGCATGGAAAGCACTGCATGTATTCAGCAGGGCTTTTGGCTTTAGTTTTGGAATAGCGGGGTCACCAAGCTCAGCATTGTAGCACAAATTCCTACAAAGCCAGCTTGTAGTTCCAAAGCAGAGTGGAGACTATTGAAATGAAAAGCAAAAAGAATGCCTAATGGCGCATTCAAATCTAGTGTGCTATCCTTTTGTAATCCAAAATAGGTCATCTATGAATTTTTGTTTCAGTTATTGGATGCTTTCAGCAAACAAGAAAAGAGACTCTCAGCATTGGTATAAGATCACAAAAGTGTCCCATCTATTAAAGAAAGAAGTGAATGCTTTAAAAAAGTGAACAAAAAATTGATTAAAAGTATATTTCAAAAATTAGTTGTTATAATGAAACGTGATTTCAAGTGACATCATTGCTCGTTGGATTAAGGGCATGGATATCATACTGAGACTTGGTTTCAATTTCTCATGTTTAATGTAGGTGATATTCCACTGCATGTCCACATAAGAGAGACATCTGATGCTGGCAAACCTATTGTAGTTTCTCAACCACAGAGCAATGCGGTGAGTTTAATGCAATAACTATATGCGTGTGGGTGAGTTGGATTGCTTTGATTACAAATCCTTGTCTTTTTGCTAACAGGATTTCAACAGATTTCAGTTCATTTTTACTTTGCTTGTCAGACATTTCTATTTATAAAACCTGAAAGAAGCCCAATCCCTTCTTCTCCCTGTGGCATGATGGTGGCTCTTTGGGTTCTGTGCTGGGGCAAGAGGAGAAATCTGAGAAAAGTTGCAAGAAGCTCCAATACACTCTGCTTTCCACCACAGTGGCAGCTCTGTAGCAGCCCCCCCCCCCTCCCGCTCACCAGTATAGGGAAAGTTGGGGTAGATGGGAAAGCTGTAAAAAAAAATAGGTCAGGATTGACTCTGTAGTGCCAGCAGCTCTTTTGGGGATGAGGAGGTTAGAAGGGATTGGGAGGAACTGAAAAAAAAGTCCTAGTCCCTTCTGCCCCCTCTGCCACTGTGGTGGCTATTTGGCGCATGTCTGATGGAGTAAGGAGATTATTGTGCATTGAGAGAAGCAAAAAAAATCCCCCAATTTTCTTTGCTCTCTCTACAACTGTCATGGTTTCCGCTGGTTCTCCACTAGGATGTGGAGACTAGAGGGGTTCAGGGCTTGTTTTAGGTTCACCCCATTGAGAGCTTTATTTCTTCGTGAAGAACCTAAGAGAAGTACCAACCCACTTGACTCTCTCTAATGGCCTTTGCAAGGGGTTTTTTTTTTGGGGGGGGGGGATGCTGGTGGTAGCCAGGAACAGCTGGCTCCCTTGTTATGGCACTTACACTTTTGCCTCTCTGTGGAATGGATCCGAGGAGCTCCCTCCTGAGCCCAAAGCTTTACCCTAAACTCATCCATGGGTCATATCACTATCCATCATTTTGGCCTGAAAATGTCTCCTCGACTTGTACACAAGTATATACAATATACCTCACTACCTCTGAGGATGCTTGCCATAGATGCAGGCGAAACGCCAGGAGAGAATGCCTCTAGAACATGGCCATATAGCCCGAAAAAACCTACAACAACCCTATATACAATATTTTCTTATTCTTTCACAAAAATGCTGTTTTATTGTTGCCCTTGTTATTTTTGTCCTGCTTTGCATTTTGCAAATTTCTCCAGGAACAGATATTGTAATATAAGAAATACCCAACAGTTAGAAGGGATTATGGATTGTCAGTATATAAATCTGAGGTTTTAAAGGAACAAACAGGCTTGTGTCTGATTTCTGAAGAAATTAAGGGCCCCGGAGGAGCCTGGCTGGGTTTTTATTTTTGGTGGTCATTGGTAGTTTATAGATTGAGAGAGTTTCTGCCTTCTGTTTGCTCTGTTTTGTTTCTCCTTGCACTGCAGAGCAGGCCTTTGGCCTCCAAATGATTGGTCAGCAAATTGTCAACATTAAACTGTCAACTTTTTGTTCCTTGCCAGAGAAAATGCACTCCTTGCTTTTTCAGAAAAATGAGCCACGGTAATTCCCATTAGAAACTCCAAAGCAAAAAATGAAGGGAAAATATCTGAATCGAGCACATACCATTTCAATATGAAAACACTTGCAAATGATAAATGAGTACTGTAAATTTCTCCTTTCCGTTTCCCCCATTAAAATGCTTTTGTTTCACTTCGGTTCCTCTTGTATTGCTCAGTAATGATGGCACAAACAGATGATTCCAGCCTTAGGATCAGATAAATGGCCCATTAAAAAGGGATATCACTAGAAGGAAAAGTTTAGTATGTGTGCATGATAGGTTTATAGAAAAAAATCCAAGCTGACTGCTTTTTGATTTTTTTTTGTTCTCTGCCTGTCCACGAAAGATGCAATTAGGAAAATATATTATTTAGTAAAAGTCAACAGTCAGTTCTTTTATGTTACCGAGATCTTACTTTTCTCAAAAGCTCTACAATAAGCAGCTTTCAGGCTAAACTGTCCCTTTCTCTGCTGATTCCCTTCTCTACTCCTTCTTAGATGAAGAGTTGGTTTGTGCTTGAAGCCAAATAAGAGGCCTTTGGGGGAGAGCTGACAGGAGGAGAAGGCCCATGAGGTTGCAGCCTCTAACATGCTGCCTGCATCTTGGCTGTCATGTAGAGTGAACAGGAGAGAAGGAGGCTGGCTTAGTAAAGAGAGGCGGACCAGAGCTGGTGTGTAGTTATTTGCTGGTATTTACTTGTTGTCAAGTTCTTAGCTTCTTTTCATACCAAGCTGATTTCCCACAAACTAAATTGTTCCATCTACCTTCCTATCGCTTTTCTGCCTCTTTCAATGAGCTGTTTAATGTTTACAACTCTATGACCAGGTCTAAAATTATCTGAATGGACACATTCGTAAATAATACTTTATCAATGGCTATTAACTAATAGCTAATCATGGAATCTCCACAAAACTGGGTATAAACTTATATAGCTTACTTCTATCTAGGAACTTAAAATCATCTGGGGAGGCCCTGCTCTCAATCCCGCCTCCTTCGCAGGCGCGTTTGGTGGGGACGAGAGGTGGCCCCTCTGCTGTGGAACTCCCTTCCTAGGGATATTAGATTGGCCCTCTCCCTCCTGACTTTCCAGAAAAAAGTAAAAACCTGGCTCTTTGAAGAAGCTTTTGGAACTGCAGTGTAATAGATAAACACAGTACTATGAAAGAGTAAACATGGAACGGCTTAAAACTATGCTAATGGAAAATGAGTTTAACTCACCAATGGAGGACATTGGTGATGATAGTTTTAATGGTTTTTATATGGATTTTTATTATGTTATGCTAAATGTTTTTAATGATATTTATGACGTGGCATCGAATTGTTGCCAGTTTTGTAAGTCGCCTTGAGTCACCTTTGGGCTGAGAAAGGCAAGTTAGAAATACTGTAAATAAATAAATAATAAATAAGTGACAAGGGGAAAAAAAAACAACTTTGCCCATGCATGATTTTAGAAAGGCCTTGCTGGAGAGCCACAGGATGTAAGCAAGAGCTAGGCGAGTCATTATATGCTACATACCTTTTAGTTGTGAGATGATTTGAATAAACAAAGGGATTGGCTGCCTCCATTAAGTTTCCTAAGGACCTCTTTGGTGTTGTAGGCAACACTACATGGTTATTATAGAAATTAGTGTTTCAGGTGGTGGATAGGAGGGTTATGTGTATTTTAACCCATTTCAGGAGAGCTTACAATCATGTATCTGAGGTGCATCATATACTTCTTTAAAGAAGTCAATTGTTTATGCAAGAAGATTGATATGCAAGGCGAGAGTGATGGCCATGTTATTTTAGAAGGCACCTCTTCGCAATGACCTGTAGTTATTTTTAAAATCTAATGCTATAATCGGTTCCATTCAGTGAAATGAACCTTACTGCTCTTTCAGAGTGCTAAGGGGAGATAATGTAGATATAATGAGGCTGTTCTTCAAACTATCTTTTAATTGTTTATGCAGCTTCACAAATCTTTATTGGGCAGAGAAATGTTGAGTATCTCTGTCAGGAAAATTACACCATATCAATATAGGAATTTGATTTAATTGTGTGTTGTTGTTTTTTTACTTCTGTGCCGAAAGCTTTTTAATTCTATTGTGTTTGAAAGGTTGTATGACTTTGATCCCATGTTGGGAGAAAGTAAGATATGAATTAAATAAAGGCATAGAACTATTTTATAAACTGGTGTATAAGTCAATCTTATGTATAAGTCAAGGGCAGGTTTGGAGGCTAAAATTATAATTTTTTATAGGAAAAGTTGAGGGTCATTTCATGGAGAGGGGAAAGCAACACCTTAGATAGCTGCCGTTAACATCCCCCCCCCAAAAAAGCATTTTCTCCACTCTACTAAGAGGATTGTTCTTTTTATATATATATATAAGAGTTAAGATACAGTATTTACACTGACGTGTGTTATAAGTCAACCCAGGTTTTTTTTAGGTCAATTATTTTGCCTAAAAATTCTAAATTTTTATACGAGTATATAACAGATATGGGCAAACCCAGGCCTGGGGGTCAGATGTGGCCCCTTGGGCTCTTTTCTCAGGTCCTCCTCTCTCTCACCATTCTATCCTTCCTCTCTTCTCTCTTTCCTTCCTCCTTCCCTCCCTTCATTCTTTCCCTTCCACCCTTTCATCCTTCCTTCCCTCTTTCTTCCCTCCTTCCCTCTCCCTTTCTCTCTCCTCCCTCCCTCCCTCCCTCCCTCCCTCCCTTCCCTTTCATCTTTTCTTCCTTCACTCTTTCCTCCCTCCCCTCCCTCCATTTCCTTCCTTCCATCCATCCATTCTTCTCTTCTTCCCTTTCTTCCTTCTCTTTTCCTTCCTCCTTTCCTCCTGGGGGATGTTTAGCTGGGAGAAGAGAAGGTACAGAGGGAACCTGAGAACCATGTTTCAAGATTTGAAAGGGTGTCCCATTGAGGAGGAGAGGGGAAACTGACTTTCTGCTGCTCTAGAGACCAGGACACAAGGAAGCAATGGATTCAAATGGCAGGGAAAGACATTTGGCTGAAAAGATTAATAACTTCCTGAGAGTAAGAGCTGTTGGAAAGTGGCATAGGATGCCTCGGAGTGTGGTGGAGTCTCCTCCCCTGAAGGCTTTTCTCAGAGGCTGTCTATTGGGAGTGCTTTAATTCCCGCATGGCAGGGGGGTGGACTAGATGGCCCCTGGTGGTCTCTTCCAGCCCTAGGATTCTATATCAGGAGTAGGCTGTCGGGGTCTAATGAATACACTTTAGGTCCCCATTCACCATCTCATCCTGACCAAGGCTAACCCTTTTGGGATCTTTCCCTCACTTTCTGCCTCCGAAAGAGAAGAGAAAGGAGAGGAAAGGGCAGGGAGGGAACTTGGGGAGAACCCCCTCCTTCCTGGCCTGCCCGCCCCATTCTGGCCCATCATGCGACCCCCAAGTTAGAAAGTTTGCCCATGCCTGGTATATAGAGTAAGTTTATAAGAAGATCATTTTGATTAGTTTAGATCAAGTTGATGTGTAGAATCTAAAGTCGCCAACACCCACTCTTTACTTGGTGTCACTGGCCTATAGTACCCTCTCTTTGGAGATGTAACTAGCTTGACTTCTCTGTTCTTATGGACAACAAACATAACTCTTCTTGAAGTTTCATGCCAGCTCCATTTCCTTTGGCTATGATCTTTTGCAAGCCTCTGCCTTTTTCACCAGTGATGTATTTTCCTTCTTTTTCAGTCATTCTTGGCTCCATGATGCCATCTGACTATACTTGCACTATTTTTTTTCCTTTCCTTATCCAGTTTTTCTGTCCCTTGTATATCTTTCCTGTAAATAACACAAATCCATTCTGCTACTGTACAGCTGATGGCTCACCACCCAGCCAAATGGAGGCTTTCCTTTATACAAGCAGCGTTATTTGTCACCGCTCTGCTGCTGGCAACTAGTATGTCTCTAAACATTTCATAACAGCTTGGTCAAGGGGGTGAATGCTAGCTTCTGGTGATAGAAAGGCATTGTATAAACTGCTCCTATGTGATTTATACTGCTTCACTCCAGTCTAGAAGGTTAACACGGATTGGGATTTTTATATATTTTTCAGGCTCAAGCGTATTTGAAGATTGCTGCTGAAATTGTGAAAAGGCTGCCACATCCTCCAACTTAAAGCCATCCTTCTGAAGAGCTCTAGCTGGGATGTTGCTGTCTGAAATGTGACATAGGAAGTGACTGAATAAATTATGTTCAATTATGAAATAATTCAGATTTGTATTTTATGAATAAATATTTGATTGCATATCATTTTAATTTCTTGTTTATTATTTATTTATTTATTATTTATTTCAAACATTTGTATCCTGCCTTTCCCAACCCCCAAAGGGGGGATTCAGGGTGGCTTACAGTTGGCAACAATTCGATGCCCACACATAAAAAACGCAATAAAACACGACAATTACATAATAGGTAAATACTAGGCCTGTGCGGTTTCGTTCGTTAATTTCGTTATTCGTAAAACATTCGTTATTTTTACCATTTCCGAATCGATATCAAAACAATTTTTCAAACCCGGAAGGGTTTAAAAATATCGAAGCGGCATCCCCCATCCTTTTAACGAGCTTCCGCCCGTTTCGGAAATTGGATGGAGGATGCTGGTGCCTGGGAGCCAATCCGGCGCTCCCAAGCACCCCAGCAGTGCACCGTGGCTGATTTTGATTGGCCGGGAAGGCCTTTAAAAGCGGCTCCGCGTGGCCGCTTTGCTCATTGTTGCGGAGGCGAGGGAGAAGGGAGGTCCGGGAGGGAGGCTTGCATTGGCTTGCATTGGCTTGCATTGGCTTGCATTGGCTTGGTTGGCTGGCTAAGCTGGATTTCCTTGCATTCTGTTCGTGTTTGCTCTCGATTGGCCTGTCTTTTGGCTGTGTTAGCTGTTCATCAGGGCCATTTTTGGGTTGATTTTCCATTTTTGAATATTTTTAAAAATACCTGTCTTTTATTCTTTAAAAAAATACAAAAAATATTCTAAAAAAAGAAAATACTCTTCTGTTGGTGTTTGCTCTCACTTGCCCTGTCTCGTGGCTGTGTTAGCTGTTCATCAGGGCCAGTTTTTGGTTAATTTTCCATTTCTGAATATTTTCTAAAAATACCTTTCTTTTATTCTTAAAAAAAACCCCCAAAAAATACCAAAAAAAGAAAAGACTCTTCTGTTGCTGTGTGCTCTCGTTTGCCCTGTCTCGTGGCTGTGTTTGGTCCACATCAGGGCCAGCTTTTGGTTAATTTTCCATTTCTGAATATTTTCTAAAAATACCTGTCTTTTATTCTTAAAAAATACAAAAAATATTCTAAAAAAGAAAAGACTCTTCTGTTGTTGTGTGCTCTCATTTGCCCTGTCTCGTGGCTGTGTTAGCTGTACATCAGGGCCATTTTTGGGTTGATTTTCCATTTTTGAATATTTTCTAAAAATACCTTTCTTTTATTCTTAAAAAAAAAACCCAAAAAATACCAAAAAAAGAAAAGACTCTTCTGTTGGTGTTTGCTCTCACTTGCCCTGTCTCGTGGCTGTGTTTGGTCCACATCAGGGCCAGTTTTTGGTTAAGTTTCCATTTTTGAATATTTTCTAAAAATACCTGCCTTTTATTGTTAAAAAAAACCAAAAATATTCCAAAAAAAGAAAAACTCTTCTGTTGGTGTGTGCTCTCATTTGCCCTGTCTCGTGGCTGTGTTTGGTCCACATCAGGGCCAGTTTTTGGTTAATTTTCCATTTCTGAATATTTTCTAAAAATACCTGCCTTTTATTGTTAAAAAATACAAAAAATATTCTAAAAAAGAAAAGACTCTTCTGTTGGTGTGTGCTCTCATTTGTCCTGTCTCGTGGCTGTGTTTGGTCCACATCAGGGCCAGTTTTTGGTTAATTTTCCATTTCTGAATATTTTCTAAAAATACCTGCCTTTTATTGTTAAAAAAATACAAAAAATATTCTAAAAAAGAAAAGACTCTTCTGATGGTGTGTGCTCTCGTTTGTCCTGTCTCGTAGCTGTGTTTGGTCCACATCAGGGCCAGTTTTGGGTTAATTTTCCATTTCTGAATATTTTCTAAAAATACCTGCCTTTTATTTTTAAAAAATACAAAAAATATTCTAAAAAAGAAAAGACTCTTCTGTTGGTGTGCTCTCATTTGCCCTGTCTCGTGGCTGTGTTTGGTCCACATCAGGGCCAGTTTTTGGTTAATTTTCCATTTTTGAAGATTTTCTAAAAATACCTGTCTTTTATTCTTAAAAAAATACAAAATATTCGCTTTAACGAATCGATTCGTTATTATTTTAATATCGAATCGAATCGTATTTAATAACGACGTTTCGGAAGCCGCTTTTGCGCATGCGCGATCGCGTCCGCCATTTTAACGAATCGATTCGTTATATCCTTAACGAATCGACCCCCGCGCCAATAACGAAGCTTCGGAAGTGTTTTTGCGCATGCGCGGGGGTCCGCCATCTTTACAAAATGTTTTGTAAATATTTACGAAATTTCGTAAATACCGAAACTTTTTTTTGGAAAGTTTTGTAATTATTTTAAATATCGAAACAAAAAAACACCCCAATTACAAATCGATTTTAGAAACAAATTTTTTCTTGATCAAACAGGCCTAGTAAATACATTAGGTTAAAATTAATTTAAAACAGTATTAATTATTAACAGTATTATGTTAATAACAGTATGTATCTGAGATCAGATTGCTGAGGGAGAAAATAGGTGATAAAATTAATTACTGGTGATTGCATCTATGAATATATTCCTGCTAGCAAGTAATATTCCTGAATCTATGAACAAAAGATCTACTGCAATTGTCAGCTTTTTCCCTGCCACATACTGAGAAGTTTTTGCCCACATTTTCTGCATCATTATTTTTGCGCTGATAGCGCTGGTCACCGAAGGAATCCAGGACTGGAAGGTATATAAAGTACTCTGTGTATGTATGTGACATAAGCATGCTAACACCTCCTAATGCAATTCTACCTCGTTATTTCACAACACTGTTTGTTACACAAAAAACATGACACTTTGACTCCGATAACACAAAATAAGGAAGACAGGATTTTATTGAACAAGATTTTGTGAGTAACTGCACAGTTCACACCCAATTGAATTCATTACTTTGTTTGCCAACAAAAGCTAGATGAATAAAAGAAACCCTGCATACACTCAAAGATCGGAGATAACCACTGTAATAATATGACAGGACTTTAAAAAATATTCAAATCAAGTAAGAGCTGAGCAGATTCTATACTGAAAAGATCATACAGAGCATTATCTAGCATGAATGAGTTGTTCTATGGTACAAGGTGTTTCATTATTCTTCCCTGTGCTTCATCTGACCAAGTGCTGAACTTGAAGGCTGCCATAGCACCAATCTGCTGCTTTGGTGGGGGATAGCACCCAGTCAGAATCCAGAAACCACATATTGCTAACTTCTATCTAATGGGCTGCTGATCTTGAGAACAGAGATACATGCATCATCCTCTTGTATTTATTCATCTTGTACTAGCCCCAGATCCATGGGAATTTATAACTTTCTCACTGACACAATGCCTGTCCAATACCCATTACTTTTGTCATGAACTCCCTGAACAAAAGCTGGAAGGAAGAGTGTTTCATCAGCCTAGGGACTAGATGTGTGCAATTCGGCCAAAATGCATGCCATTTTGGGGTCCATTGTCAGCTGACTCCTCATTCTGTTTCCTGGGAAGTTACTCAAAAGGGGAGGGGTGATGCCGTTTTCATTTGTCAGAGATTTGACCCATTGGCTACAATGGGAAATTTTAAAGGCTCAGTCCTCAGTCATTTTAAGGCCTATCTGCACGAAACCTACATCAGTTTTAGACCCCATTTACAGCTGCAGATCTGCCAAGTTTCAAAGCAATTCACTAATTACTAATTTTTAAGAATTATTTTAAGTTTTAACCATAACATTTATTTAAAAAATAAGACATACCGCAAGAGAGGGTTCTGGGAATTGTAGTCACCAGTTGTGTCTATTCTCAGCCAATCAAAGCTTGAACTTGAGCATGGACACCACTTGGCTTTTATTGGCAGAGAAACACAGAAAGAGAAACTTCAACTCCCATCATGTTCTGAAAGGAACTTTTCAATGCCCACTCTATGCAGACTTAATTCCTTCCTTTCCAGAACTGATACAATCTGGGTCTCTCAATCCGTTTTGCCTGGCTTTTTGTCTCTCTCCTCCCCATTCTGTTTTTGGATATTATATAAAATGGCCTACCAAAAACTGCAAATCATTTTCATTAAAACCAATTCGGGCCCAAGCCTACTAGGAACTTTGATTCTACAGCAAGTGAATGTCAAGTGAATGGTGCTGCATTGTGAGGACTTTCCACAGATATATAAACCCAAATTTCCTAGTTTCCAGCAGACCTCACAACCTCTGAGAATGCCTGCCATAGATGCAGGCAAAACGTCAGGAGAGAATGCTTCTAGAACATGGCCATAAAGCCCAAAAAACATACAACAACCCAGTGATTCTGGCCCTGAAAGCCTTTGACAATACATTGTTCTAAAGTAATTCTCATTTGGGTGCCTGATTCTGACTATCATCTGCTATGGGAGTTGGTTTTGCTTTTAAAGCATGCCCAGGAAAGGATTTTGGAGGGAGCAGCTGTTTACCTTCCCTGTTTTAGGCAGACCCACATGGCTACAATACGATTGTTTGGAGAAAATCCCATTTCTTCCCAGCTCAAGTGTTCTTTATTTCACTGTTTATTTGCAGAAATGTTGTTGCTGTGCAACACAGAAAGCCTATGTTTCCCCAGCCCACCTTCCGCATGCTCCTAATAGTGCAAACAATAAACAGAAGTATAGATAGAGTATGAGGAGAAAATGAGTGGATGGTCAGGTTTAAAAGGAGCTTCACTGTCAGAGATGTTTTCTTAATTTAGGCATGCTTGTACTTTATGTCAGGACATTTCCATACTGTTTCTGTCAACACTTCCAGTTGAGAAAACAACCAGAATTGGCTGGTTTTAAGGTGATAAATGATTGGAGAGCAATGACTAAGCAGTCATCTTCCTATTATTCTTTTACCCATATTTGCCATATATGTGTCTCCTCTAGTTTGACATGCCATCAAACCCCCTACATATTTGATGATGTGGTGGACTGAAACCAATGGACCTGGATTGCTCAGTGGTAGAATAATAGCAATGTTCAAATCCAGCTGGATGTGATGCTGTGAGAATAGTTCTGTAAAAGTACCAACCATGCTGTGTAATTAAAATTCTCCTACAAAGTAGGAAA